ATCTACCACTTTCATCATCACTAGTGTGGTTTGGGCCTGGACCATGATCAGATCTTGCTGGAATATAACCTTCTTCTCCTGTTTTCCCCATTTCTCCATGTTCTCCCATGACCTACTATCAATACACTGGCCAGTCTCTTTTTAAATCGGAACATTCTGAATCTTGTTCTCTTTCTCTCCCCATCCCTTTTCCAGATATGATAGACTCCTAATTGTTCTTTAAATGTGCAAGACAGAATGACACACTCATAGCCTTCCACTAGTTCTCAGTTTTGCTCTGTCCCCAGATATCTACCTCATTTCCTTCATTTCTTTCTCCAAAAAGGACTACCCTGACCACATTCCTTAAAATTACATTCAGCCTCCACATAGGCATTCTCTTTCCTCCATACTCTGTTATTCTTCACCCTATAACACCTTTTCAATTTAGTTGTTTATTGTGTTTATTGGTTATAATCTGTCTTTACACACTAGGCTATATGCTTCAGGAAGACAGGGATTTTTTTTTTCCTCTTTTGTTCAGTGATTTATTTCTTAGGCCTAGAGTAGTATAGAGTAAGCACTCAATAAATATTTGTTAAATGAATAAATAAATTAGTTAGAAATGTATGAGCCAGAAAGAAGAGCATTCTGGAATATAACCCCCTTTAAAAAGCCAGAACACCTTGACAGTGATAGTAGTCATTTTTACACATATTTAATTAGGGAAAAATCAGTCCCTGTGTTAAACAAACAACCAAATAACTCCTAAATTTGTGGGAAATATCCTGAGCAAGTTCAGTGTCACCTCAAATAAGGATGGTTAAGAGGTTAAAATACTCCTGAAAATCAAGAACAAAATGCTTAAGAAATGCTGAATTACGCCATAGCCATCTATAAACATTCCAACTTTCTGAATAATAAAAATTGGGGTAAATGAAAGAGTGGGTTAAAGTCTCACGACTATGGAAATGAAAAGTCTGTATTCATTTCAGAAGATACATGCAAATAATAGTCAAAGTGCTGCAGGAATTCAAGGCTGCACAACTCTGAAGTTTACAGGAGCCAATCAATTTGTGATTCTCTGGGTCCCCTGTTCCTCTTTCTCATGTTTACTGCCAAGTATTTGACCACCTTGCTATTTGTCAGCAACTCTCACAAGACAGCAACCTGGAGAAACAAAGGGAAACTTAGACAGCTAAAGCTACTCCTTGGTAGTAGCCCAAAAGGACTATTTGGAGATTTTAGTCCAGAGAGTAATAAAAATGTCTGTATATTAAAAGCATTCACTAAAATGGGTACCATGCATGCTTTTGGAAAACCATTGCTCAGCATGGCTTGGCCCAATTCAATTAAGGTGAACTTTGAGTCTGTCTAAAATACTGTCAACTGACAGAATAAAAAGAACTCTTGATGTATTTGAATGTGCAAAGGAAGAAAGGAAGAAAGAAGAGTGGAGAGATCCATGCCTCTGCAACAGGATTATCTATAGGAGTAAATTTAACATAATGGAACCTTTTCTAACATTGGCAAGATTAAGGTATAAGAATATACTTCTACTTTTAATAGCAGTAGAAACTGGGTGGAAATAACTGCTTCTCAGAACCTATTTACTTATTGGTAAAATGCATACTAATATAGTTTTCTCACAAAGTTGTTGTAATGCTTAAATGGACAAATTATGCAAAACACCTAGTATATAAAGGCAAATATCTTCCCCATCCAAATCTGAGTTTCTATAATACTATCCGCCTGTTTGTGCAAGTGTTGATAGTCATCTTATTCTAAAAATTCATTCTACTTTTCAATTTTGCAAGGATAAAACCCTGAAGAAATATCGAGAGGGTAATTAACATATGGCTAAAACTATCATGGGAAATATAAAAAGATAGATTAAAATGTGCAACTGGGACGTGTTTTAGAATGAGAAGCAATCTATGGATAAAACTTTCTTTTCTTCAAATGCACAGGAAAATATTATAAAAACTCTATTTAAAAATTATAATATGACATCTTGAATGAAGGAGAATATTTTCTTCCTTTTGTATAAATCAGAGTGCAGAAAATGCATGGCTCTTTGTAAAATTACTTGAATGTAAGTTCCAGGGGAAGAGGATTCTTTTTGTTTGTCTCATTCATTGCTGACTCTCCTGAATACTACAAGGGTTATAATTGGCAATTAGGAAGTAGTTCTGAATGAATTCAGATGCACACACTATAGTGTACTTGGCACAGGAATAGGGGTCCATCTGCCTCTTGCAAATGACTGTACATACTTTACAAAAAGAAAGGTAAATAATAACAAGCCAGAATTATTGGCATCAAGAAAAAGAACAGCACAACTACTCTCACAGTTCCTGAACCACCATTTATAAACATCTGGAATTCTGCTGAGGAACTAATAATCCATATATGGTATATATTAGCATATGCATAAATGGATATGAAATGACTAATAATTTCTTGAAACAGGAAAATAATGATTTCTGGAAGTGACCAAAATAGACACTTCATAGTAGAGAATAAAGAATAAAGATTTGGGCAGAAAAACTTTCTGCTACTCTAAAGCCAACTCTGAAGTTGGTTATTATGTTTTTTAAAAATGCTATTTGTATGGAAAAAACATATTTAAATTCTCTGCTTTTCATATTTGGATAATATACAAAGAGMAAATAAGTGACCAGAACCTATTTAAAGTAAAAGGATATATTATATTCTAAGCAAAATAATTAAAAAATGTTCAAGTAATAATATATAAAAACACAATAGTTTTGGACTGTAATCCATAAAGAGTCAAGCAGGCATCTATAGATATTGTCCTCAGTCCAATTATAAACTGGTTCAAAGTCTGCCAAGATAAATAATATAGCCTACACACCTCTTTGCCAACTGTCTTATAAAGCAGATGGAACCAAAAATCCAAAGAACAGTGAAAAATTAAGTTTTAAGAAATCCTTTTCTCTCTGAAGTTGTATGAGAGGAAAGGTCACTTTCTAACTTACTAGCTTAACTTTTGATGCCCTTATCTTTTTCTTGATCATACATATTTTTGTGTATTATGCTCTATTTAYGCATTCTTCAATTGCATCTTTATTTATGACTTTGTGAATCAACATCTTTGTGATAGGAGGTGAAAGTCACTTAGCTAATTACACATGCCTGATAAGCTGCATAATAATAACTACTGCAGTATTGTACATTAGTCGGAGGCATGTAAATTACTGCAGTTATTTTCATTGGGGGAAAAACAAAAGACTTGTTTGTAGTTGTTTAAAACACCCCTGTTGCCTTCATTTCCACCTTCATAAGTGTACTGTGCTTTTAACCCAAATTATGGCATCATTTTTAAAAAATGGAAGTTAAATTCCATTCTACCAGTAGTACCAAAGAAACAAGAGCAAGAACAAGACAAATGTCGATTTAAGGCAAATACTTCTGATCCCAGTTGAGAATTTTGTCATTTGAAGTGTCTTTCAYATAATGCAATCCCAGGAAAACAGAACAGTTTAGACCCTCCCTGCCCCACAAGAATACAGTAATGAAATCTGACTTGGTCCAGCCCAGAGTTTGGAAGTGCATAGAGGGAGAGAGAGAATGTGCAGCACTAGAATATTAATATGACTTCTGTATGAAGATTGGAAATTCTACAAAGTTATGAATAAGGTCAAAATAACACTTAGGTGATTTACTGTCATAGAAAATCTTCCTCTCCCTATGAGTGATTTACGGAATGTTATATAAAAACAGAGTGTGGACCAGCTACATTCAGATGCAAGCTTGCAGCTGTCAGAGTCTACATTTGCTCAATCTGGCTAGAGGATGATTTGAAGGTTGATTTGATTGTAGCTTCTGAATCATGTTCTTCTCTATGTTTTAAATTGTTTAACATAAATATAAAAATGTTAAAGTAATTTGAAGACAGTCAATATTAAATATAAAAATCCCGTTCCCTTTTGGAATTTTAACTGCAAATGAAAAGGCTCTTGGAAAAAAATATTACTTAATMATGCCAATTGCCCACAATTATGGCAAATTTATCCCCCGATGAGGAGAAAGTTCATAGGATGTTAGAAAGGAGCTAAGAATAAACAATAAATAAATAAAACTCGGTACTGAACTGATGAATTTGAGGAGGAACACAGATCTGAATCTCTTTAGAAAGAATTGAGAGGTCAAAACTGATCAGGTAGTTGGGAGCACTGTGTGTGTTCCTTGCAGGCAACAATACCCTGAGTATCTCCTTCCCCATAAGCAAACTCAAAGCAGAGATTGAATTCTTGCCGATGCTACCAGCACTACAACAGAAGGCATCATCAATGAGCTATGCCAATGTTATTTACTCAGCTGGAGCTCTCCTCAACCATCTTCCTATTCCCTGCCACACTTCATCAAATTCCAAATATCACCTAATCATTCACTTCCCAGCTTCAGCAGATCATCCTTACAGAAGAGAGTGTCTCATTCTTCTTTGGTAAGCTTTTTACCCATTTTTTAATTTTCACTTTTATACATACCTCCTTTTCTACATATTTTCTTGCCGGGTTTTCTGGCACATTCCTTGGATATTCTTTTTACTGAAAAATGAATAGAAGACTAGAAAATAACATGGCGCTCCATCACAGACCGCCGGAACATGCAACACCACTATCTATCTTAATACGCTCCTGCATTTACTGAGTGCGAAAGTTCCCCAAGTTGTTGAGCCTGCACATGCAATGAGGAAATGTTGATGCATCTTCTCAGAAGTCATTTGGTAGGAAATGGAAATTAGGAGCCCATTTCTACCTAAATATACGTGCTGTGGAGGTAAGAAAATGAGTAGGCACAGGAAAAAAAAAATAACAGATATACTGACACACATAGACAGAAAGAGCGGCATGCAAGCATGTAAAATATGTCTACATGCCGACAGGAAAAGCCATGCATACTACCAGTACACATCAAGTAATATTGTTAGAATAAAAAAATATATATATATCTCTATGTATATAAATCTCCCTGTTTTTCCTGCAAAAACTCACCATCCTCAGTTGGGACATATATGTTTAAATAAAGGCAGTCTTCACTCTGGTCTTGTACATATGAAGAAACCACATCCAAGTTATTGGTAAACCACACAGGAAGCATGACTTCTGGCAACCTGCCATCAATGATATTCTGGGGACACACAGGAGCAAACTGAGTGGCATTCCTGACATCTGACCAGGGAGACGGTGGTTCTGGAGGCTGAAAACGATGTTCTCCTGTTGGTGGAGCTGCATACGGAACTCCAAGAAACTGAATAACAGGCCCCAAAATTTCATTATTGAGTTCTTTCTTAATCCCTCTTATCTTGCCAAAGTTGGTTGTCACCAGTGGGTCTACATCATCCAATTTTTGTGAGAGCACATGGGCAGCCTGAATTAAACATCCCAACATACAGAGAGTCAATGAGGYGCCCAATCCCCTGTGTACCAAGCATGCCATCACTGCTCTCCAAACGTAATCTGGCCACATGCATCTGGGCCGTGCCATGATCCCACATTAGTTGTCTAGCTGTCTGGTTACAGTGAGGCAAATGTATTTATATCCACTCGAGACGGACTGTATAATGGTAGAATATGCCTCCAATTCCTCAAAAGTGAGCTGGTCGGGAAAAGTTCAGAACACTCTTCATGCAGCAAGTATCTCCCATTGATTTCACATGTATTGAGGCAGCATCTTCAATCATCTCTATTTATCAGACCATATCCTATTGACCATTCTGTTTTCCATAGTAGCAATTTGGTGAGGGTGGCCATTGACTGTAGATTTCCCTCTTATAAATCAAATCCAGTTAGCTGCAGGTCTATATCCTAGAGAAAATGAGAATAAATCATTAGTATGAACAAGCTGAAATAGACAGAGTGATAACTAGATGTTGTATAAGCTATAGAAATACATTAATAGTGGCTAGAGTCAGGTAAGTTAAATACTACCATGGGAAAATTATGGTTTGATGTGAGATGACAAGTGAAATAACTGATTATTAGATTATTGAGAGCTTGCCTGCTGACTTTATACACACCGAAATGTAAGTAGGTCTTGTCAAAATATATGGTTTTAGAAGCATTTCACAGTGAAGTATTTTTAAAATACTGAAGGTTAGGTGTGAAATTTCCCCTTTATTGATAATACAATCACTTCAAGTGACTACAAAATTAATCAACAAACATGTTCAAAATTAGAATCCAATAGCAAAAAAAAAAAAAAATTTTTAAAAAGTTGGTAGCGTATAAATGGAACATAAACTCCCTAAGAATGATTGTAAATATTGAAATACAAGCAGAACAAACTAAAGGTGCTTCCCAATCACCATGCTTAGACAAAAAAAAACAAAAACAAAAACAAAAACAAAAACAAAAACAAAACCAAAGGTGATGTCCAAACAGGAAAACAAACGTGAGTTCAGCTATGATTTTAAGTACAGCTACCTCCTAAGGTCAAGTTCATTGCTCTCTTTCAGAAGTCTGCATAAAATATTGATCACTGAGCCTCTACCGTTTATATAGACTCAAGAATTCAGAAAAGAATATGTCACTGGACACAATTCAAAGAAGGGAGAAAAAGTTAGCATCATTTTTTTTTTTTTGGCAGACCAAAGTTTCGCCAGCTATCTATATATGTTAGGTAACAATAAATTTGCAATGTGTGAATGAATTTCTGAGTCAAAGTCAATATGTTTTAAATTACAAATTTTGTTCTTACCATTTGCTAGAGATCAAAGGAAGAATATTTTAAAAAGTGTCGTAATTCAAAAGAACAATCATGCTTAATCATGGTATCTTGCATATTAACACTAATCAAACACCTAACACTGTTTACCCAGTTCAACTTAAAATGCATCGGAATAAGCTATGACATTCCGTGAATGCAATTCACAGGACAGCATGMAGCTCAGAAAATTTGTCTTTTCTTGTTCAAGCAACCCCTTTGAGTGCTTACTTTGAAAATAATAGTGTTGATTTGTATTAGAGGTGGTTCCATCCTGTCATATTATGGGAAGATTCCTGAAGAACTGCTGGTTTAGCAGTGAGACTACCCTGACTTTGTGTTATTTAAAAGAAGATTGTAATAACTATATAGGGCATCAGGAGATTTGGTTCTGTCCTGGTGTTCCTTTAGCTTTGAACAATCCATCACAGAAGGCATAAGAAGATAAATGTCTTTCTTCGAGTATACTTCAGTCTGTGTCAATTCTCATACTTTGGCTGTGAAAGCACATTACCATACAAAGATAGGCTTAGACCCATCCTTCTTATGTCCCAGAACAATGGCATTCATGGAAGAGTTAGCTACATAAACCTATTTCCATAAGGAGTATACTATGTTTACTCTTGTTCAGGTTTTTTTTTTGGGGGGKGGGGCGGGGGGGGCACAGCACAACTGAGTCTTTCCTATTTACCTTTTGGTGTTTAAGAATAACCATCTTAACAAATAAGATAGAGAACCTGCAGTGAAGCCTTGAAAGTCTCCATCAACCATCTTTTATTTAGCCTGATTTCCAAGTACAGGGATTTCCAAAAGTTCTTGACATWATTGGCATCTCATTAATGATAAATACTCATAGTTATTGACAAAGTACCACACCATTTCCAAATACTCACAAATCCTGAACTGTGTTAAAAAAAAAAAAAGAAGCTCTTGTTTCTCACTAGTATAAGATCTTAACACAAATTAAGGAGGATTGGCTTGGCATGGTGAGTTTTCAAATTGTTGACTCTGGCTTCAGAGGTTACCAAAATATCCTATTTTACATGCATATATATAGAGAGAGAACTATAGTATTTGCCCCAAAAGTTTTTCTAGAAATCATTATTTGATTCTAAAGTATTTAAAACTGAATTACAAAAATGTTTATTTATGTATATTCAAAATATAGAGGTTAGTAAATATTCTGATAATATTATAGAAACAGGAAATGTTAAATGATCTACCCTATTMTTCCAAGTCTAATGCAGAAATATGGCCTGCTCTCCCTRGCACAGTAGTGCATGCCTGTAATACCCAAGGACTCAGGAGGCTGAGGCAGGAGGATCACAAGTTCAAGACCAACCTGAGCAACTTATTGATTTGCCTCAAAATAAAAAATAAAATGGGCTGGAATGTAGCTCAATAATACACATACCTGGGTTCAATTACCAGTACCGGGAAGAAAAAGAAAAGGCCTCTTTAAATTACTGAAATATTAAAACATTACATGTCTACATATAAAGACTCTSCAGTTTGCTGACAGTTTCAAATAGAATATTTGAAATATTTTTCCTATTTATTGGTGTTTCCTAAGTATATTCCACATTCTTAGCTTTCATGCATTCACATTTAGTTTATAACAATCCTATGAAATGGGTTCAACTGTTATCCCCTTTTTACTCATGAAGAAATGAAACTCAAATGTTAAATGCCAAGGTCTCTCAACCAGGCAAGAACAGATCCAGGAGCCAATTACCATCTGATTTAATAGCCATTTCCTTGATCATTTTATGATTTGGTCTCTCCATTTACAATTATCACTTTAAAAAAATTTGATTCTAGATACTAACCTATCTAAAAAGCTTACAAATAATGTTTATTTATGTACATTCAGAATATAGAGTTTAGTGAATACTCAAGTAATATTATAGAAACATGGAATTTTAAATGTTCTACCTTATTCTTAATGGGAGTATCAATTTGATTGTGCTATTTTTTACCTTGTTTTACTCTAGATCTAATACAATCATATATGTGATTATACAAGATCATGTTAAAAATAATCTRTATAATGATTTGGTTGCTTTTAGTATTTTAAAAAACCCTCAAGACCCAAATTCATGACAACTTAAATATCATTAATATATACTTTTAAATGAAATATGAAATATTTTCKAATTGGAATTCTATTGTCACTGAAAATAAAGGATTGAGACCTAAAATATCAGCATAGATAAATTTCAAAATTCTAGAACAAAATGAATGTAATATTAGATTTAGTAAAATAATATTTAAATAAAGCTTAAGGTGTACAAAATAATACTATTTATTATTCACAGATACATAAATACATAATAATAAGAGAGTTACCATCCCCAGATAAGTGAGGAAAAGAATGATATTAATTCTTACAATTAATTAGTTAATTGACATATAAGATGAATAGCCCGTGGTGAGGCTTTGAAAGGCCTACAATGAGCTACAGAAATTTTACAAAATCTTAATTTTTGATAGTGTTGGTGATATATACAACACACACACACTCACTCACTTGTATTGTAATTATTTTTTTCTATATTTTAAATATTTTTAAATACATAAAAACAATGGGATCAGAAAACTGTGGCTCACCCAGCCAGGCAATTCTCATATTACCAGTAGATTGGCCTATCAAGCCACATAGGACCAGCCTCCTCTGACTTCACAGTGAGCAGAAATACTAGCTCATATGTTCTTCATTATTTCTGCCCTTGAGGTAAAGAATGCATGGTCCTATTAAGATGATAAAATAAATGATAAATAATATTTGAAAGATCATCATAAATTGCAATATACTGACTGACTTGCATTAGCTCGTTAAAATAGCTAATCCCTCAATTAGTTTGTTCCTTGGTGACCCGGATAAAAAGTAGAGAGAACCATCTAGAACATTAGATAATTGCAGTGAGTAACCACATTCATCCAATCTTTCATTCACTCAATGAAGTATTTATTAGGAGTTTACAATATGCAAGTTTTTGTGTTAAATGTTTGGAGAATTTAAAGACAAATACAATCTCTTCATTGCTCCCAGGTAGCTTGTAATATTATAAAGGAATAAGTCCCATGAAATAATGGCCCTAATGCAAGATGGAAAGTGACATGTGTTGAATAAATACATGATGAAGGGGGGAAGCAAGACCCAGCAGGAAGTCTCTAACTTATAACTTTCTGTAGACTCATATGTCTTTTAAAAAAATATTATCTACTTATTCTCTGTTTTATTTTCAATATTTTTTATCTGTTTGATTTTTGAATCCAGCATTTCCTTACTGAATTTTCAAGGATTTTGCATATGTCTGTGTTTTTATATATTTATATTTGTTGTAAAATCTATGGAAAAATGCTATACATAGCATAAGCATGGTTAAATCTCAGTTGGTTCGGATTGAACAAGGTTCATCACCAGAGACACCTGAACTTGATGGTGACTCTCAGCCAGTTCTTTGCAATATATAGTTGATCATTTTTACTCATAGTGGACATGTTTTAAAAAGTCGTCATGAACAATGAATTAGGGAATTATTGCTCCTTGGGGACAGCTATATGTATGTGTGTGTGTATGTGTTTAAATTAACATATGTATGTACATATCTCACCCAGATTTTAAATTATAACCTTAAAGGTTTAAAGTAACTCATCCCAATAGACTTAATCTTCTTTATTTTACAAAAGAAAAAGCAAGGTTCAGAAGTGCTAAGTGCCTGAGGTCACCCCACTATCAGGTGTGAGCATTGGCATTGAAATCCCCTCCAACTGGCCCCAGAACATAGTTCCTTGCCCTGCACTGTGCTGCGCCTCCACCATTGCCCTCCTCCATTTGTGGACCTGAAAGAAGCATGCATAGCATGGCCTTGTTTGACCTCACTGGAAATGGGCTCATAGGGCAACTCAAAGATTTTGCTGCTTTGTCATTTCTATGGAATGACAGAGAAAATGGTGTGAGTTTTGATTTTAGTTTTCCAAATAAATTGTATTGCATAGGCAAATCTGCAAATACAGAAATCAGAAATAATGAGGATCAACTGTAATAACTAAAGAAAAATAATGTTTTATACCTATGGGTCTATGAGTTCTTTTGAGG